CAGCAGCGTCCAGGTTGACCCACGTGGACATCCGCAGCACCGCCCCGCTCCGCGCCCCGCCCCACACAACGAGCAGACAGCCCAACACCAACTCATCTTCCACTAGGGGAGCTTCATCAGAGCTAGACCGCCGTACGCGGGACTTACTGCACGTGCGGAAAGAGGTGGAGGAGAAATGGGCGGGCTCCCCCTCCCGGGCCGCCGCACCCAGCACGGATAGACACAACTCGGACCGACTGCAGGCCGCGCGTCTGGACATGGAAGGAGCTGGCCGGGGTGACGTCACGGAACAGGAGGAAGTCAGCCCACGCCGCGCCAGGCCCATCAAGAAGTCCATCACCGGGGAGTTCAAGGATAACGGTGAGTGGAGGGGGAGCCTGGGGGGGAGGGGGTTCTTTTGTTTGTCTGTCTGTTTGTCTGTCTGTCTGTCTGTCTGTCTGGCTGGCTGGCTGGCTGGCTGGCTGGCTGGATAGGGGTGTTACTTTTCCTCACCTGCTGTCGTGAGTGGTTGGAGGGTGCCACTGGTAGGTCCTTTCTTGTTGCGGGGTCGGGGGTTCGAGCTGCGTCCGACGTTGTGTCCTTGGGATAGGCACTTTACACGAATTTCGCGCGCTCATGACCATATGCAGTTGCGAGCGCCGTAAAAACCCATACTATACTATACGAATTTCCCTCACGTCACCCAGGTGGAAATGGGTACCCACCCGGCCATAGGCAGCGAAAAAGCTTGTCAGTATGTTTGTGTTTTAGCGCTTATAAATGGCTGCTTGTACTGTATGCTTCCCAGGAAGTTGAGTTTGTTTCAGAATGCTCTCAGTGGGTGGTTGGCGGGTGCTCTGGTGTGGTTTGCTCCTTCTTTCCTATCAAACATCTATCGTCCTTATCTTCCCTTCTTTTTTATGTTTGTTACTCTTTTAACACCTCTAATCTTCTGGCGCTCATATGACCGTAAGCAGTTGCGAGCGCCGTAAAACTCTACTAAAACTAAAACTAAGAATGCCTTCAGGTCTGCTGGGGTAATAGTATAGGTTGTGAAGCACACACAGCTTGCTGTTGAGCGGGGATTTGCGCTATACAAATGCTATCTGCTATTATTATTTTCTTTCCCACTGTTGTTTCTGTCTTGCTTCTTCCTGCACCTGCCGTGACTTCCACGTGCTTCTGTTTACTCAAACTGATAAAAGTCTGTCTGTCTGTCTGTCTGGTTGTCTGTCTGGTTGTCTGTCTGTCTGTCTGTCTGTCTGTCTGTCTGTCTGTCTGTCTGTCTGTCTGT